AAGGACCTCCATTCTTGGACTGCAAAGTCAGCTGCTCCCCTCCTTTTACTACCAAAGTCTACCTTTACATTTCCAACCCTCACAGTCAGTCCTGATAGCATTTATTCACTGTTGTGCCACATGAGTGCTGTCTCCATCTTCTTTCATCAGCCTTGCTCAGACAGATTGAGTATTACTCAGTGGAGATTCTACCTTCCTCTGCGCCCTATGAATTTAGGCTCCCTCTGGAAAACTTGTAAGCCAGTCACTTCTTGCCTTTGTAGCCCCCCATTTTGGGTAGCCAATGTCCAAGTTGCCCATCCCTGTCTACCCTGTGTATACACGGTGTGAGAATGATCCTTGCTATAAAGATTTGTTCCGTCTTTTGAGCTACTGCATCCATAGGTGTAGGTAAAATTCATCAAAATTTTTCCTCTTCTAGTTGAGTTCTGATCTTCCAAGGCATTGAAGCCTGGTCAAGTGAGTATTATCTATTATTTTCAAGTGTGGGTGTTCTTGTACATATGCCCTCTCTTATCAGCTGGATGCCTAGTCCTCTGTGGCTATGTCACTGACTCTGGGACCAGGAGTCTCCAGGTCTTGTCATACTGCTGGCCAACCAGTACTTCACCCAAGTTCACAGGAGTCTATTGAACATGCTGGGCTTATTAGCTTGCAGTTTCATTGCTGTTCTTCCCTTTATCAGTGACCCTTTATCAGAGCACGTATCTGCTCATGTATTCCCATTGAAGGGGGTTTGCCCTGAGGGGACCCAACCACTTACCTTAATTTCTCCTGGGCGAGCAGCTTGCTTGTTCTTTTAGTAATTAGTTGGACTGCTGTTATTGTTTTGTATTTTCCCTGTTGATCTTTCTTTTAAGAAGTATACTCTGTTCTTCTAGCCGCTCCAGGCTGGTATGCTTGTCCTTTCAAGTGGAAATTTCCTACCTCAGAAGATTCTGGATGGGTTCAGATCCCCTCTATGGTCTTATGTTATGCAGAGAGGCTCCACAGGAAGCCTCCTTCACTGGGCACAGTGTAGCTCCATTTTAGGTATTCTAATCAGTTATAGGAGTCCTGGTGTAGCACTGTGGATTAAGTGCCAGACTGCAAAGCTGTTTAAACTAAAGTTGGTGGTTCAAGCTCACCAGGTGCTCCTCGGAAACTGTATGCAGGGTTGCTATGGGTCAACAATAACAATCAGTTACAGGCAGAAGATGGACTTACAAGCTTTCTGTGGGGTTGGAGGAGAATATTGAAAGTGCCATGGGCTGCCAAAAGAACCGGTAGATTTGTTTGGAAGAAGTGCAGCCAGAGTGCTCCTTGGAGGCCAAGATGGCCAAATTTCATCTCATACTTCAGACGTATTGTCAGGAGGGACCAGTTACTGGAGAGGGATATCATGTTTGGTAAGATGGAGGATCAGAAAAAAAGAGGAAGACCCCCAACGAGAATGATTGGCTAACTGGCAGCATCAGTGGACTCAAACGTTGCTACAGTAGTGAGGTTGGCCCAGGATCCGGGTAGTTTTTTGTTCTGCTGTGCATAAGGTACCAACTCGATGGCACCTAACAAGAACAACAACAATCCAGGAGCATGGTCCATTCTTCCATTTTTGTAGGTCTCTTTTGGATTCTTGTAGTAGTGATTTGTAGTTTTCTTTGTATAGGTCGTTTGTGGTTACATTTATTCCCAGATATTTCATCCTTTTGGTGGACACTGTAAATGGTTTTGCTTTCCTAATGCCCATTTAATCGCTGATATTGTTGGTATACAGGAATCCAACTAATTTTTTTTTGTTGATCTTGTATCCTGCCACTTTGTTTCATAAATGTATTAGGAAGTTTTCTATCCTCCTCTATATTCTGGAATAATTTGAGTAGAATTGTTGACAGCTCTTCCTTGAATGTTTGGAAGAACTCACCAGTGAAGCCATCTGGGATTGGACTTCTTTTGATTGGGAGTTTTTGATGACCGGATGAATTTCTTCTTTTGTTATGGGTCTGTTCTGGTTTTCTACTTCATTCTGTAAGTTTAGGTAGGTTGTGTTTTTCTAAAAATGTATCCATTTCTTCTAAGTTTTCAAATTTGTTGGAGTATAACTTTTCATAGTATTCTGTTATTATTGTTTTGGTTTCCTTTGGTACTGCTCTGACATTGCCCGTGTGGTTTCTAATGCGTGTTATTTGTGTCTTTACCCTATTTTTTGTTGTTGTTAGGTTTTCCAATGGTCTGTCAATTTTGTTAATCCTTTCAAAGAATCAGCTTCTTGTACTGTTCATTCTTTCTATAGCTTTGCTGTTTTCTATCTCATTTATTTCTGCTCTAATCTTTATTATTTCTTTTCTGTTGGTGGCTGTAGGTTCCCTCTGTTGGTCTGTTTCTAATTGTTATAGATGCTTTGCTAATGTGTTAAATTTTGTTCTTTCGTCTTTCTGGATTTGTGCATTTATTTCAATAAATAAATTGTCCTCTCAGCATTGCTTTCGCCATGTCTCAAAGATTTGGGTATGTGGTGTTTTCGTTCTCGTTTGTTTCTAGGAACTTTGTGAGTTCATGTCATATTTCTTCTAGTACCCAAGTCGCTTTTTTCAGCAGGGCATTATTCAGTTTCCATGTATTTGACTTGATTTCCTTGGTCTTCCTATTGTTGATAGCATTTGTGGTTTGAGAAGTGTTTTGGTCTGAGAAGATGCTTTGTAGTATTTTGATATTTGTACATTTATGGAGGTTTGTTTTGTGGCCTACCTAACACATGGTCTACTCTGGAGAATGTTCCATGTCCACTGGAAAAGAATGTGTATTGCACTGTTGTTGGGTTGAATGTACACATCTCTGATGTCCAGTTGGCTGATTGTGTTGTTTAGTTCCTCTGTGTCTTTGTCAAGTTTCTTTCTGATTGTTTATCCATTTTTGAAAGCGGTGTATTAAAATCGTTAACTATTGTAGATTCATGTTTCTTTCTTCAAATCTATTAGAGTCTGGTTTATATATTTTGGAGCTCTTTTTCGTTGGAAGTATTGATTTTTATTATGGTTATGTCATGTTGTTCAATTGTCCCTTTAATCATGAGATAATGTCCATCTTTGTCTATTATTCTTGCTTTTGCCTCAAAGTTTATTTTATCAGAGATTATTATGGCCACTCCTGTTAGTTTTTTATTGCAATTATCTTGGTATAATTTTTTTCCATCCTTTGACTTTTAATCTGTTTTTGTCTCTGTGTGTAGGATGTGTCTCTTGCAGACAGCATATTGAAGGCTCTTGTTTTCTTATCCATTCTGCCACCCTCCATCTCTTAACTGGTGCATTTAATCTGTTTGCATTCAGTGTAGTTATCATTAGGTATTAATTAATTGCTGTCATTGTGCTTGCTTTATTGTTGTGTTGCTACTTTCTTTGTTCTGCGTGTCTTCCTTTGCTGAGTACATGCTTTTAGCCTTCTTTCTTGTGAGTTTCCTAATAGTTGTAATGTTTCCATGATCCTGGATTTTCTTTTTCTTGGAATGTTGTGCAGTGATAATTTTCTTTGAGGTTATTTTAAATTCCATGAACTTTTCCCTCCATTTAGTGCAGTCTATTTTATCCTGTAATCTACCTGGCCTTTTCACCGTCTGGTTCTCTGTTCCTACGTGTTTACCTTCTTCAGATTGTGATTGTTTTGATCATAGACTGACCTCCCAGATTCTTTGAGTTTGTTCTTACAGTTTTGTTGTGTTCTTGACTTTTCATCTGTCTATTTAGTTCTGGGAGATGCTGCCACATATCAGTCTTTGATTGTTGTCTGTTCTTGTTGGTTCTGAGTCCACAAAACTCCCTTTAGGATGTTTTGTAGCACAGGGTTGGGTTTGGCAAAATCCCTTAGTTTATGTTTTCCTGGAATGTTTTGATTACACTGTCGTATTTGATTGATAGCTTCGCTGGATAAATGATTCTTGGTTAGCAGTTTTTTGTTTTTTTTTTTTTCTTTCAGGGTTTTATATATGTCTCCCAATTGCCTTCTTTCCTGCATGGTTTCTGCTTAGTGATCCGAGCTTAATCTAACTTGCTTGTCTTTTTATGTAACACTTTTCTTTTCCCTGGCTGCTTTAAGGATTTTATCCTTATTGTTGATTTTGGAGAGCTTGATTATGATATGTCTTGGTGATTTTCTTTTGGGGTTTATTGTTCCTGGGGGTTCATTGAGCTTCTTGAATGCTTATCTTTTCACTCTTCAGGAGGTTAGAGAAATTTTCTTCCAGAAGCTTCTCAACTATCTCTTTTGTGTTCTTATGTGATTCTTCCTGTTATGGAATGCTGATAATTTTTAAATTATTCTGCTTCATGTTGTCCAACATGAATCTTAGACCTTCTTCAGATTGTTTAATTTCTTTTTTCTGCTTCCTCTTGTATCTTAATAGCGTTGAGAGATTTATCTTCTAGTTCACTAGTTCTGGCTACTATCTCTTCAGTTCTACTCCGCTGCTTTTCAGTGTATTGTTTGTTTCTGGTATTCTATTATTAATTGTTTGAACCTCTTTCTGTAGGTTTTTAATTGTTTCCAATGTTGTATCTATCTTATTTGATTGTTATGGTAGCACTTTCCTGACTTCTTTCTTATTTTTCTCAACTTCATTGTAAAGTGTTTTGGAACATTTTATAATCTTTTTTCTGAATTGCTTCTCAGGCATTTCCAAGGACTGCCCTCCTTCTAGAACGGAGTTCAGGTCTACCTCTAGGTCATTGTCTCAGGCATTTCATCTTGTTTCTGGACATGTGCTGGTGTGGTCATCTGTTTTTGCTTCTTCACATATTTAGCTGTGGCCTTAATACTTAATTGAGTGTGTGTTTTGTTATTTTTTTATGTGTTCTGATTGCCTCCAGGTAGATGTATTCAGGAGGTGGGCTTCCGTTTTCACTCTTCTTATTGCTTAACTCTTAGTACCTTTCACAGGTATTGTCTACCTCCCTGCTGTTTGGCAGTTGGTATTGGTTCTTGCCTGGATTGTGGGGCTTCATAGAGTGTGATTGTTTCTTGACTATATGGCAGCAATTGCTGTCATTTCTTGGGTAGTAAAGGGAAAGAAAGAGCCCCCTACGGGTAAATGGGAGAACAAAAACAAAATGTTTAACAGAACAACAACAACAACAAAAAGAAACCCCAGCAACAGCAAAAAAGCCAGGAAAAGTAAAAAACAAAACAAAACAAAAAAACAACAATAAACCCCAGATTGAATACTATCGTCTGTAATCACTGAAAAAGGAGAGGAGAGAGAGAAGAAGAAATCTGTAGCCTAATATGGGTATGACTTTAAAGTCGTTTTTCAGCTTCTTGTTTTCAAGGCCCTCTGATAAATTTCAAGTTCCCACTAATGGTTGTTGTCCTGTACCTCAGGATTTAATTTTTGGCCTGTTTTGTTTTTAAACTCTCTTCCCTCGCCACACCCCCTGTTCTCACCTTTTCCCTATTAATAAATTGTTCAGCGCTGGATGTTGCTGTTTTGAGCTGCCTACCCCTTTAAATGCTGAAGGTATCTGTGTGCATGCTTGGCAGAAGAACCCACCAGTGGTGGGGTTGGGGAGGTGTCCAATTGCTCAGGCACCCCCTCTAGTCACTAGAATGGAGGTGCACAGACAGTGAGGGACCAATGAACAGATACCAAAAAAAAAAAAAAAAAAATCAGAATAAGGCAAAACCAGTGAGTATATTGTCCATCTGTGCTCCAGTGTTCCCGCGGCATTTTTCTGTGGCCGGTGTGTTTGCTCCCCTGCTTGGTCTTGCTGTTTGGTCTCGCCCAAGTTGTCTGGCTCCAGTCTGCTTAGCCTGGCAGATTCTAAAGTACAGGATTTCTTACTTCCGATACAAGTTCCACTAGCTATAAGCCTTCAAACTTCTTAAATATTCCTGTCTATGTGGTTCAGAGTTTTGGAGCTCTCTCCTGAACCTGCTTCGTCAGGTAGTCTGTGATATTGCTGATGGAGATCCTCACTGCACCTCTACCCTATCTGCCATCAAGCCCACCTTGCTCATATTTGAATTTTTAATTCATACAAACACTCCTGATTCTCAGGATGTCAGTGTCTTCTCACTGTAAATTCATTCTGATGATTATTTTTTCACAAACAAGGAGAATATATTATGTGAGATACTAGTATGGATTAATTACCATAATCTTGCTGATCCAAGGAACTTTTTTTTTTTTTTGTATATTGACGGATTTTATATATGATGGTGCTTCAGAAAGTTTGTGGAAACATGGAATTAAGAAATAATGGAATTTTCCCACAGTCTTTTGAAGCCACCTTGTGTGTGTATGTGTGGTGTGGTGTGGTATGTCTATGTGCATACTGTTTTGTTTAATACAAGTTGTTTAATACCTCTCTGGGTTGATTTAGTCTTATTTGCAAGTATGGGTTTTAGTTTTTGAAAAAGGACTTCTCCATAACAGGTGCCTGAAAAGGGAGGTTCAGTGTTATTGTTAATGGCTTTTGAGTCAGTTCTGACTCATGGTAACATGGTGTGTTACAGAGTAGAACTGCACTACAGAAATTTTGTGGCCATAATTTTAATGTAAGCAGATCACCAGACCTTTCTTCTATGTAAGATTAAATGATTTTCTACCTTTGTAAAGATTTCTCATAAATCTCATCCATGGGATTGTCCCAGTGATGCAGCTGAGAATAGCCTGCAGGTTCAGCTTTCAAATTCTAATAAATATATTAAAATAAGAGAAATTATTTGACCTTGATGGTTGGGGTAGTAATCTTATCCAACCAAGCCAGACCTATTGCCATCAAGTTGCAACTGCTATTTGTAAGGTTTACACAGGCCCAGTTTTTTTCCGGCAGTTATATCATCAGATCCTTCTTCCTTGCTTTTCTTAGTCTGGAAACTAAATTGTCAAAGATTTAATTTTATTTGGATCCACAGTCAATGCCCATGGAAGCAGCAGTAAAGAAATCAAATGACCTATTACATTGCGCATATATTGGACCTATATGCTGCTTCCTATAGAATTTACAGCCTCGCAGCCCTATCCAGGGTCCCTATGAACCGACTCCATAGCATCCAGCCACTACCACCACCACCATTCTGCTGCTTAAAGTGTTAAGCAAAGAGGTCAGTCAGCAGGTGGACTAAAGTGCAGCTGTCCTAAGCCGTGGTGTTTTCATTTACTTCATATGCCTGTGAAAGCTGGAAAATGAATAAGGAAGATCAAAGAAAATTTGATGCATTTGGATTATGCTGTTGTCAAAGTATTATTTCTATGTAAATATTATGTTTGAGTTGAATGAAACTTTTAATCTCATATGGTAAATCTTGGTATATTTTGTACTTATTAAAAAATGGACTTAAGTGAGAAGATAGCAAATATGAATATAACTGATCAGAAATTTACTTTGTAATTGGAATTTGATTTCCGTCTAGTTCAGTGTCACTCCTTTTGTGGTTATAACTACCATTCTGGCACCTAAAGTACTTTAATGATCCTGTAGTATTTGCTAAGTATTGGCCATAACTGTGCAAATCAAAAATGAGTACATTGCAGTTGGCATACAACTAACTTTGAGATACTTCTGGGCTTTAAATTTTTCTCAAAAATCTTAACTACACTCAATGCTAAAATTGACTTTAAATTAGTTCTGAAATAACTAAAGGATTTTTTGAAGGAGGAAAATTCCCATTATGCTTAAAGAAACTTTTATCATGTGAAAATTTCTAGCATAGTATAAAAGTTCAGAAGATAGTTTAATAGATCTATATTTACTATCTCCCTGGGCAGTTGTCAACTAATTCGTGGCCTATCTCATTTCATGGAGACCCCTTACTCACTCTCCTCCTCACTACTATATCATTTCATCTATACATATTTCAGTTTTTATAGATGAGAGATAAACTTTTAAAGAACTATAATAACATCATCAGCTATACAGAAAACCCAACAATTCATTTATGTCAAGTATGCAGTAAGTGTTCAAATTTGCCTAAATGTCGGTGATCTGTCACCGCAGTCGCAGAGGTTTCCCTTGCATCTCTCTTTGCCTTGCAGTTTTTTTCTTTCTTTTAAAAAAAGAATTTGGGTTATTTTGCTGTAGTTTCCCATAGACCATTATTTACATCTTATATTTCATGTTGTTATTGTTGTTAAGTGCCATTGAGTCCGTCCCGACTCACAGCAACCCAGCATAGGGTTTCCAAGGAGTGAATGTTGGGTTTGAATTACTGACTTTGTGGTTAACAGTCCAATGCTTATCCTAAACTGCCACACCAGGCAGTTGTAAAATGATGATATACTCTCTTCACTAAATACTTGATTCTATAGCTTATACAAGAGAGACAGGATAAGTACTTTATTTCCCCTTATTTATCAGTTTTTAAAAATAAGCAATTGGTTTCATAGTATCCTTCAGTGATTATATGAGAGTGAGAGAAGGAATAGCATTATGAACTCATAGACTAAAATATATTAAGCTTATTTCATTGCACTAATTATTTTTGCTGAAATCATTTCATGTTTGGCCAGTGAAAGTCTCATCAAGTTGCTTCTCAAGCGCTTTTGACATAGCCTTATTGGTGGTTTTTGATAGTTTCTGTTTTAATAAGATGTTCTAGAATCAACTTGTAAATTTTCTGTTCTAGACTTGGAATTTGCAGGGTTTTTTTCCCCTCAGGAGCCCTGCTTCTCAATCTAGTCTTGCTTCCTGCTGTTATTCAGTGCTATTGAGTTGGTCCTGACACATAGCGACCCTGTATAGTGTTTCCAAGGCTATAGGTCTTTGCAGGAGCAAAGTTCTCCCACAGAACAACTGGTGGGGCTTGAACCACCAACCTTGTGGTTCGTAGTTCAGTGCTTATCCTACAGCACTACCATGCTCCCATTCTTGCTGCCTTGTTTTGGCTATAATGCTATCCATATACTAACTTCTACATTTATTTTAATATCCCTAGTCTCAAGATCTCCTGACTGGTTTATTTTACTCTTTATTTGGTTTTGTCAGTTGGCTATTAATTGTAACCAGAAATATAACATGCCAAAAACAAAACCCTTGAATCCCTGTTCTCCCTCTCCTACTTCCACAGGGAGTTCTCGTTGCTGTTAAGTTGATTCTGACTCATAGCGACCCTGTATAGGGTTTCCAAGGAGCAGCTGGTGGGTTTGAACTGCTGACTTTGCAGTCCACAATCCAGTGCTGACTCTACAGAGCCACACCAGGAGTTCCTGCAGGGAATAGGCAGCCCATTTATTATGGACTTCTTTTATCAGTAAATGGGAAATCTTCTACTTGCTCAGACAGAAAAGATTGGGCTGTATTTTAAAAATATACGCAGAATCTAGCAACCTCCCACCATTTTTATCACTACCCCCTTGGTCTAAAACACTATTTAGTCTCTTGTCTGGATTACTGCCGTAGCCTTCTAACTGATTTCCCTGCTTCCTTCTTCACGCGTAACAGTCTTCTTTCGCACTAAATAGCTAGAGTAATCTAATACAATGAGTCCTACTCTGCTCAGAACCCCAAAGGACTCCCCATCTCATTTGATTCTCATTTGATAACAACAAAAAGAGCCCTGGTAGTGCAGTGGTTAAGCACTTGGCTGTGATCCCAAAGGTCGGTAGTTCAAACCTACCAGCTGCCCTACAGGAGAAAGATACAGCAGCCTGTTTGTGTAAAGATTTTACAGCCTTGGAAATTCTGTGGGGCAGTTGTCTACTTTGCCCTTAAGGGTCACTATGAGTAGGAATCACCTCCATGCAGTGATCTGGGCCTTGCTGCTGTTTGGTGCCCTCTCTTCCCTTACTTACACTGTTTCTTCATGTGTGTATTTGAAAAATTGAAACCCAGGTTTCCTAAAATGTTCTGTATTTATGGAAATTTAAAAAACCAAAAATGCTGGCTTTGCATGAGACTAATCTGTTGTTTCTTAAAAAAGAGCAATTTAATAAAGGTGATAGTGTTCTTAACAGTGTTAAAGTTTCTATTTGGATATTCCTTCTCCCAACTCCTCCCTGTTTTTTTTCCTTTCCTTTTATCCCTTCTCTCTTTTTTTCTCTGCTCTACCTTTGACTTCTTTCCCATGCCCCTCTTTGGCCTCGGTCCCACCCCTCCCCTTGAGTTTCTTTCCCACACCTCCCCTTTCCTCCTGTCTACCCCTTTAATCTCTCCTTGTTCCTCCCTCCCTGTCATCTTTATTGCCTTTTCTTTTCTATCCTTTTTTCTTTCTTCCTACTCTCCTCAAACAAACAAATCAGATTCTCTTGAGGTCTTTGCTTTTTTGCAAATTTAGTTCAATCAAGAGTTACTTGGTTATCCTAATTTATAACTGTGGAGTCCTGGTATCGTGCTGTGGGTTAATGCGCCAGATTGCAAAGCCATTTGAACTGCAAGGTTGGTGGTTCAAGCTCACCAGCTGCTTCTCTGAAACCCTATACAGGGTCGCTATTGGTCAGAATAACAACAATTTATAATTATTGAATTTACTTAGAATTCTACATCATTTGTACTAATATTTCAGTTTCTGATTCTAGCTTTATTTTCTTGAAGACTGAGTCATTCTGAATGTTGGCAATGTAATGAAGAAAAACGTAGTTTAGGGATGTTGTTTTTGTTGTTGTAACAAGTGCTGTCAAGTCGGTTCCTACCCATAGTGATCCTGTATAGGTTTTCCGAGGAGCGGCTGGTGAGCTTGAACCTCTGATTTTATGGTTCAAACAGACCTTGCAGTCTAGTGTATTAATCCACAGCATCATACCAGGACTAGTCTATAAATATTTGTTTGGTAAATTCATGCTATATGATCTTAAGCCTATCAGGAGACATTACACCTAGAACTTTGTGTTGTCCTTAAAAGTCCATCAAAAAAAACTCAAACTAACTGTTGTCACATTGATCATTAAAAACCAGGTAAAGATATTAACACAATCTATATACGTTTTCAGAAGAATATAGAGTATTGGGGTAATAAAGCAATTTCTACCAACATTTTGCATATTAAGTCAGTTTGGTTTCCACTGATAAGGGATCCATTTTGAATTTACAGATAACCACAAAAATGTCCTGCAATATTATTGGGATTAGTTTGAATTATTACTGCTGTATTATTTTAATCTAAGTTTTAAGACATCCTGTTACTCTTAACATCAGGAATGTGAACCTTTGCTACATGTTTTGTAGAAGAAAGTAAAACCAGGAGGATTTTATAAAGGCATTCAAGAACTTGGATTTAACTAGAGAGAATTAGTCAGTAGATACTCATATTTTTCATGAGTGACTCTGGTAGATCTTCAGGTCCATGTGTGTACAGGGTCTTTAATTAGGGTGTGGCCAATTTGGGAGAAAATTGTAGCCAATTGTGTTGCTTTTTTTTCTTTTTAAGATCTTGATTTAAGGGAAAGAAGAACTTTGCCAGACACTGAAGGGACGGGGATCTCTCCTCCTAATCTGGGCTTCCTGACATGGTGAGTACAAGAAAATGACAAGAAAATAGAGCTGGACTTGAGCCTGATAACTAAGTAAACACTAGTGAGTCCACAGAACCAACCAGTTGCTATCAAGTCAATTCTGACTTAGTGGTGACCCTTGTGCATCAAGAGTAGAGCCCTGTGCCGTAGGGTTTTCAATAGCTGATTTTTCAAAAGTAGATCTGCAGACCTTTCTGATGAGGTGCTGCTAGGTGAACTTGAACCTCCAGCCTTTCATTTAGGAGCCAAACCTTTTAACTGCTTGTATCACCTGTTGTTGTTGTTAAGTACTGTGGAGTTGGTTCTGACTCATAGCGAACCTGTACAGGGTTTCCGAGGCTGTAAATCTTTATGGGAGCAGAACACCTCATCTTTCTCCTGCGGAACAGCTGGTAGTTTCGGACTGCCAACCTTAAGGTTAGCAGCCTGATTTATAACCACTACACTAGGAACTCCCAAATAACTGCATGCTGTTCTCCACCCTTTCTTTTTATTTTTGGTAAGAAACTATTGTACTTTTCTTTGAACTCTGTTCCTGTTCCCTTCTTTCTTTGATTGTATGATCATTGCAGAGTGTTCCAATGTATGGAGCAGTTTCATTAATCCTGTAAGCTAGTCTTTATTAATCTTTTCTTGGCTGACTGTAGTTAGGTCTTTAGGTCTGTATGTGCAGTGTCTTTAATTAGGGGATGACCAGTTGGGGAAAAATTGTAGCCAATTGTGCTCTTTTATTTCCTTTTTAAAATGGAATCTGGATGAAAACCCATGATTCCTATACTCCATGTGTTTTAGGAAATAGGATGTAATGAAAGTTGTTGTTTTTTTTCTTTTGGGGGGTTGTGTTTTTGTTTTGTTTTTTTCTTCTGGGTTGTGTTAATGGACATTTCATGTTCTTTGAGTTTACCTGTTTGGATAGAAACGGCTCCTTTACCTCCTTTCATGTTCCTTCTCTTTAAAACAGTATGTTTATCCCATAGAAGATGGTGCAGCCCCGTTTCCTATGCCTACATCTTATCCCAAAACAACTTAGCATGGGCATTTCACTGATTGATTTATGGGCAGAGAAGGTGGAACAATGAACCAGCCACATTTTCATCAATCCTGAGGATATATAAACAGTGCTCCAAGGTTTTAAAAAAGAAATGATCCTCTGTAATATTGCCGGCTTCTATTTTGTGATGTTTCCTAGATTCAAACTCAGTTTCATGCTGGCTCACAAAGAAGGAATTGAAAAGGCCATGTTAATTTCAAGCTTCATTAGGAACATGGGTGGAAAATGCTTTTCTGGATTAAAAACAAAAAGAAGCTAGTTAGGCAGAAATGTCATATTAAAAGGGAGGTGAGGAGAAAGGTAACTGCCTCCATCTTAAAGTGGGCATCACAACTTTCTGATGTATCCTATGCCCAAACATTGAGGAACTTTTAATATTTCTCTAGACTGTATTTAATTTTATTGCTTTCTCCACAAAGTTTGTATGCACTGAAAAAGTTTTTGCCTAGTATTAATACAACATGTACAGCAATGCTAATGAGCAGTAAATGACAGGTTTATGAAAGCTGCTCTCTTCTGTTCTGAGGCTTTGTCCTGCATCATATCCCACATAGATAGCAACAGTGTGCTCCTCTTTCCAGTGCTGCTGAGGTCCATGGTGCCCAGTAGACAATCTTCCTGGTGGGTTCCTCCTGTACCGTGCTCTGGAGCTGCTCCTATGTGCAGTGGTGGCCATGTATTTTTTTTTTT